ACAAGCTCTCGGAAGGCGTGGTTGTTGCGACTGGCTCGGTCCAGGTCGGCTGGACTGACTGTTGAAAGCACCCCGTGCAGGAGGTGCACTAGACACTGGCGGGGCATAATAAGGCTCTTGGGGCCTAGGAGTGGCCAGAATACCACTGGCGGTTGGAAGTGCTGAATGGAGAGGGTGACTCACATACCCCCTACCATGACGAGCTGCCGCTGGGGCACGAGTACCACTATAAGTGCCAGACTATCGAGACCTCTTGGCCTCTCTCTTCTCTCTCTCCTGAATCAGCATGCCCTCCAAGCTCCTAGCAATACCCATAACCTGCTTGTAAGCAATATCCATCTCCAACTCTAGGGCCATGCTAAGTTTGATACTGGGGTTAATCCCCTCGATAAATAGACGGACCCTCTCTCAAAATATAGCAACCAAGGCTGGTGCATGTCTAGCCAAATCGCTAAAGTGAACCACATACTCTGACACAGTCATAGAACCCTGGCGCAACTGCTCAAATTCTGCACACCACGCATATTTGAGACTCTGGGGAACATACTCCCTCAAGAATATATTCGGGAACTGATTCTAAGTGAGCGAAGCTTTCTCGGCCGGACTACCCAACTCATAAGTGCTCCACCACTGATAGGCAGCTCATTTAAGCTGGAATGTAGTGAAAGAAACCCCACTCGACTCCGCTACACCTATAGTACGGAGGATACGGTGACACTCCTCAAGAAAACCCTGGGCATCCTCTAACGCCAAAACACTGAAAGTAGGAGAATAGTACTTATTGTACCTCACAAGACTGAGTTGCTCCGCCTCAGAAATTGTTGCCCTAACCCCGGGTTGAACTGGAGCTACCTGCTGTATCGGTATGATCTTTGGAACCTAGTCGACCTGAACCCGCTGCTCGGGGATGTGGCAGGATCAAGTGGAATCAACCCTGCCTGAGTTAGAGTGCCGAATATGCCCAGGAACTGTGCCAGGGTCTCTTGAAGATTTGGTGCAGTAACAGGCATCTCAGGTGCCTGCGCTCCAATTTGGGCCGCTGGTGGCTCCTCTGTAGCAGCTCGTGCGGGTTCTCTGGCTGCACCGCGTGGACGTCCTCGACCTCTACCCCGGCCCCGGCATCTCTCGGCTCTAACAGGAGGCGCGGGTGCCTGGTCATCTGATCTGCTTGTACGTGTCCTCACCATCTGTGAGAGAATAGAAAACAGAAGTTTAGAATTCCAAAGTCAACAATTTCGCACGACAAGGAATCAAAGAAGTGAAATTTTCCTAACAGTTCCATAGCCTCCCGAAGATAAATATAGACGTCTATGTATCGATCCGCGAGACTCTACTAAACCTTCTTGTGACTCATAACACCGATGAACCTAGAGCTCTGATACCAACTGTCACGACCCAAATCCCCCTCTGTAAAACGTCGTGACGGCACCTAGTCTCTATGACTAGGTAGGCCTAACAATTGCGGAATAATTGAAATAAAAGCAAAATTTAACAACTAAACTTCAACAAATAATTATATAATTGAAAAATGACATTTGGCATGTACAAGTAAACCAACACTCGAGTATACACAATTTCCAAAACCTGGTAGTCACGAGTCACGAGCTCTAAGGAGATGTTCGATTTGTCTCTATACATCAGTGTCTAGGAAAAATAAGGAAAGCAACACAAAAAGGATAGAGGGGGGCTCCGAGGTCTGCGGACGCTGGCAGATATACCTTAAAGTCTCTGAAGCAGCAACAAGTACTCTCAACTAATAGCGGGGCTAGTAGGTAGTACCTGGATCTGCACACTAAATATGTACAGAAGAGTAGCATAAGTACACTATAACAGTACCCAGTAAGTAACAACCCTAACCTCGGTAGGGTAGTGACGAGGTCATGTCAGGGCCCTACTGGTATATAATAATTTAAGGCAAAAAATATAGCAATGTAATAAGAGACTAGACATTTAACGAGGAGAAACTATAGAAAGATAATAGCACAGCACATAGGGATAAACAAGGGGATCTCCCGAAGTACCGCCTCGTAATCCCAAAAGTAAATATGCAGGGGGATCTCCCGAGGTACCGCCTCATAGTCCCAAAAGTAAATATGCGATGGGGAATCTCCCGAGGTACCTCCTCATAGTCCCAAAAGTAAATATACGATAGGGGATCTCTCGAGGTACTGCCTCGTAGTCCCAAAAGTAAACACACGGCTCGAAATCGATGGAAACAACAATTATAGTAAGAAATCCTACAGTTTAAGACTAAATACAAGTCAAGGAAAAGCAGGAAATCAACAAAGCATGATGTACATGTTTCAAATAAGCAATTAAGACACGTAGACATGTGATATCAGGCTAACAGGATAACTACACATGCTAGTATAACTCAATTAAGATGTAAGAGGTTACTGCTCAGTAAAAATCGGGTTTTATAACAATTAGCTCGTGTACGCACTCGTCACATCGTGTACACGGCACTCACATATCACAAAAGTATCACAACAGTACCAAATCCTAAGGGGATTTCCCCCACATAAGGTTAGGCAAGCCACTTACCTCGAACCAAACTCAATCAATCAGTAAGAATGCCTTTGCCTCGACTTTCCGACTTCGGATAGCCCAAATCTAGCCAAAAGCAATTACATACCATAAATATAGCTATAAGAAGCTAGTCTAATTAATGAAATCAAGACTTTAGCAAAGAAACTAGGAATTCGCCCCAAAAAGTCGACTCAGGCCCACATCTCGAAATCGAGTAAAAGTCACAAAATATTAACAGTCATTCAACTACGAGTCCACCCATACTAAAATTACTCAAATCTGGCACCAAAATTTCAATCAAAACCCCAAAATTCGATTGAAGAACATTCCCACTTTTTTCCCAAATTTCACAACCCAAAACCTTAATTAAATGATGAAATTAACGATACATTAGTGGAATATAACCAAAAACGAGTTAAGAATCATTACCTGATAGTTTCCTCTTAAAATTCCTCAAATTATCGCCTCAATCCGAGCTCTCAATGTCCCAAAGTGAAAGTGAGATCAAACCCTCGTAATTTCCCCTTTTCTGCCCAATGATCTCGCACCTGCGAGCCCTCAAATAACATCAAACAACCACAAAAATACGAATCGCGCCCCAATTCAAGCTTAATGAACTTCAAAACTTCAAACTTCCACAACCGATGTTGAACCGGAGTCGTCTTCACACAGTTCCAACTGCGGTCAAATTCCTAAAACTTAAACTTTCGTTTTAGGGACTAAGTGTCCCATTTCACTCCGAAACCAAAGACAAATCCTCCCGGCAAGTCACATAAGCATAAAATGATACAGGGAAAGCAGTAATTAGGGGATCGGGGCTATTACTCTCAAAACGACCGACTGGGTCGTTACACATTGCTCAAGCAAAAAAACCAAGATCACACCAAAAATCCAAACACATCCTGCGAAGGTATTACTTGATAAGAGAAATCATTGAACGTGCAGACATCGAGATTCAAAAGGTTGATGGAAAGGAAAATGCTGCAGACCCATTCACTAAATCTCTTGGAACAAAGGAGTTTAACAAGCACAAGTGAAAATTGGGAATGAAGTACATGAGCGATTGGCTCTAGTGTAAGTGGGAGATTGTTAGGGATATATTAGACCCTCGGCTCCCTGGGGTAGAGAGACTGTTTCCAATAGACCCTCGGCTCCCTCCCTCCAAGAACTCCCCACCTTGCTCTTGGGGTGACTCGAACTCACAAGCTCTTAGTTGGAAGTGGAGAGTGCTCACCACTAGAGCAACCCACTCTTGTCTAAAATATTATTGCGAGAAAATTGTTTCTTGTTCTTCTACCTTTGAGTTGAGATTTCTTAGAAAATTTCAATACAATATTTTTCGTCCAATTTGTTCGCGATTTTCATTGACCAAAGAGTTGATAGCAAAGATCAATCTCGGTGTAGATACGCATAGTCTTCGCACTATCGAAAAAAATTCTGAAACGAGGCGCTCTTCACCAGGTACGTCTTACATCCGATTTTTGACATGTAAATAAATTTTAAACACGATAAGCTCTGCCTAGGATTGCTATTGTCTTCCGCATTTTATTATCACCTATATGCAATCCTACACTTCACTATCCAAAATTTCATCTCCAAGAAAGTTTTCCTCTTCAGTACTTCCCTTTTCATCAGAATCTGAAGCCAATATTTATGACAATATAGTGAGGAAAAAGAGTTTTCTCAAGCCCTCTCCTCCGCCTCCGCCTCCGCCAACCCCTATTCTTAAAAAATCTACTCTGTTGAAATCAAGCTCTGTAATTATAGATGACAACACTGCTTCTGATAAGGAACTGAGGAGAAGTAGTAGGAGTGTGCCGTTTGAGGGGAAGTCTGTTCGAACAATTAGGCCATTCATTGGAGCTGCTAGAGCAAGAATACTATATGCTCAAGATTTCATAAATGGAAAGGAAGAGAGAATAAGGAACAAGGAAGTTGAAGAAACTTTTGTCGATAAACTGATGAATGAAACGTCCCATTTTGTACCAAAGCCAGCATTGATGGAGTTTGTAGGGGAAGGGAAGAAAGTGTTGTCTGTTGAAAAGGTAGTTGTGGAAACTGATGAGGACTCAGATGATTGGTTTGAAGAGAGCACAGGAAATGTAGAGGTAGCAAAAAAAGAATGTTAGTGATAAGGCAACTGAGAGTGTTACTGATGTTGACAAGAAGGCAGATGAGTTCATTGCAAAATTTAGAGAGCAAATTAAGCTTCAGAGAATTGAGTCAATCCGAACATCTGCAGGAAACCTTGTAAAATAGTCTTATGGTTAGGGAGTAATTGACTTGCTAATCATTAGAACAGTTTTATAATTAGCTAGTAATTCACTTGGTGTTGGAGAAGTTAACTTGTATTTTTTTGCCTTTTTAGTTTGTATTTCCAAACTTGTCTCAGTAGTCTTGTAGTGGCTACAATGCTAATATGTAACAACAGCATTATTTAGTGATTCAGTCAATTAAGCAGCTGTCTTTGTGATAATTTATCTCATTGCTTCTTATAGATCCAGAAATGCCAAAACATTAGTCCAGAGACCTTATGTGAACTCTTGAATTTTACATTTTAACTAAGGCCTTACGGCCCTTACTATGTGCAAGTGTTACCTGCCTAGTTTAGGCCTTAGGGGTAAGGGGAGAGTGTACATTGTATGCAACTTTGCCCTTAGACTTCTGCAAAGAAACTGTTTCCACATTTCAAACCCCCCGAAAGACCAACTCTATCATTGGGCCAAGTCTTGCACTCACATCTTTCGCTAGCTAACATGCAAAAACATTTTTGAAGTCTGCCATTCTTGATAACCATATTTCTCTTCATAAGTAGATACTAGACTTAAGCTCGACGAACCCACTGTTCCAATCGAAGCTGCTTTAAAGGAGGACCAAGATCTGGCTTAGTCCTCTGGGGGCAACGCCATTTTCCTGTTGTTTCCAAAGCACTAGGATGCAAGTTGGTTGTTTCTGTGAGAACCTTTCTTGTCAAAACATGCTTGTGGCAGTTTGATGCAACAGTGATCCCACTTAGAGAAGGAGACTGAACTGCAGAAGGCCTTGGCAAAGGACTTCCATTGTGCAATTGGCTATTTCTGTTCTTTCTGGTTGATCTAAAACCATTCTCTCCTAAGCCATTTATATTATTTTCTTTGTCCGTGATTTCCCCAGCTTCCCTTTTGGATAACTTCTGACTTAACACCCTCGCCACAGGACTATTTTTAGGCTGCACATTGTAAGCAGGTTCAACACAATCTTCAGATTTCGGGCTATTCTCTTCAGAATCCGTCCTGTGAATTGGATGTTTATATAATTTTTCACCTTCACAGCTTGAATGATTAATGATACAGGACACTTTGCAGTTAGCTTCTTGAGGGGAGATGGTCTCCAAATGTTCTCCAGCTGTTTTACTGTCTTTGATTACCATGTCAATGTATCTTGGTGAACCACATTTGCTATTCTGCGTTTTCTTGTGACATAGAGTCTGTTGAGAAATTCTTTCGCGAGACATTTCTTTGGTTACTCTTGTGTTGTTTGTCCCATCAGCGTCCTGATTCTTCAAAGTATACAAACATCAAGGAAATATCATTAAGGGAACTTGTGACAATAAGGTAAGGTAGACCTCAATTATGTAACTGAAGTGTTAGCTTCTTTGCATGGTAGAAACGATTGTATAACTAACAGAATCAGAGATGAGATGGTTTATATGCATAAGTAGCTTTCAGCCAACTGACAATACCTCCAACCAATTAAAGCCAAAATAGATCTTTTAATGTTCACAACTGTCTTCTTATTGTATGTTCCAGTACGTGATCCATCACCGTAACTCAATGTAATCTTATTGTATAAACTACAGCTTGTATAATCATACTGACCCCTTCAAGCAAAACGTTCGTGCAATCTCAGACAGATAAAGACCGAAATAACTATCCAATAAGTCTTACCTAAGGAGTGAACATTCAATAAGTCTACATCAAAAGCATGACTTCACGAAGTATTGATTATCGAAAGGAGAGAGGAAAAGGAAGTTGAAATATAAAACCAAGCAAATCAAGAGTACCTTTGAGACAGGTAGATGCTCATACTTGTCATCATGGATAAAACCACTTCCTAATGAATTCCTTAAGTTCTGAGGTTCCCCACAGCCATTATCCCCATTCATATACACTTTGTCATCAAATTCTTTCTCATGATCTGGAAGTATGAATTCTTGAATAGTATCCACTTTTGGAGATTCATAAACATAGCTAGAGAACCAGTTCCCGATGTCTGGAGGCTCTGATAAAGACCATACAGGAAGATTAGCATTAACAAAAACGATCATTGACTGCTTAAGAAAAATGGAAACTCTAATATTAGGAGGTGAAAGGATCACACTTACCTGAAGCAAGTGACATGTCATTTGAAGAGTCCACATCCTAAAAGACACAAGTACACAAAATCATGGTTTAGGAAGAGAACACAGGAGAGACAATCCAAAAAATCCCAATGCTACACTGGATGCAAAAAAGGGAATTGATTGGTACATGACTTGATGTTTGTAAAACCATACAAGAGTATTGCAAACTTTTCTCACGCAAATTTGTACATCTACTTCCAATAAGCTATTTTTGAGCTTTACACTATAGGAGACATGTTAATGAAATCTGTAGGAATAATCAGAGAAAATTGGACCATTCTTATCCAAATCCACAACCAAGACTGAGCACTTTATAATAAATTGACTCGCATTCCTATCAAAATTTAGCTCAGAGTAATTGAAACAACAATAGAAAATAACTCGCCTGACCTACCCTTTTGTTATCTGCAACATAGTTTGTACACTGAACAAGGCCCTTCGAAGCCACATCAACACCAGAAGACAAACTAACATATTTCCCATTTGTTCGATTTTCAGCAGAATTATCTTCCTCCTTGCTGATGCTGTCTTCTTTGCATCCTTTGGTGCTAGTATCCTCTTTGAAACTGATGTCAATTGATTCAGGGACTCTAAAATCATCACTATCAGCCAATCCAGGAGTTTCAGGCACAAAACTTGAGAAACAGTCCTTGGTATCTAAAGGCTCTGATAGCACTGACATTGGAACAGAAAGTCAGCTTCCTACGAATTTGATATGAGTGATTTTGATGCGCAAAATTTAAGGGCGAAAGATGAACTGGAATACTTAATTTGTGGTCTAGTTTCAGGACACAGATAAGGTTCTAAATTTCACTTCCTTTACTCAGATGCCTGAAAACAATAGTAAGCAATACTTCATAGTATGTAGAAGAGCCTAACTTACCGGAAGAAAATGGGATATTATCTGAAGCTCTCCAAACCTGTGAAACAACTTCTAAAATTATATTACCAATCTTATAATGATATTCAGTAACAATCTACAACAGTAACAACTTTGAAAGCTTCTAGTAACTAAGGCTAAATTCAAGAAGCAGAAAACAAAAATCTCTTCAAAGCTGCATAGCTTATATTTACATCATTGTGATAGGAATTATGGACCATCCATTTCTGTTAAACCTTGAATTAGTTCAATAATAGACTAATACATCCACAAGTAGAATAGTGGGAAAAAAGGACAGTATAGATATGTCTATTTTGGAATTTTCAGAAACTGTTGGATCATCAATTAGTCTCATCAAAAGTTTAGGCAAGAGCTGCTCTTGGACAGTCTTCTACCAACTAATGCCTTCCTTTCTGGACTTTGTTTACTGTCAAGTATCAACTTGATTGGCCGGTTACTCCAATAACTAATTTGATTAAAGGTTTAGCCACCACTTATACAGAAGCATTGTGAGGAATCATACACATTGATAGTACACATGCAAATGCAGACTTGCTACTGCCAACGCTTTCCATTCCAAGCCCTAACAACATGATTCCAGCATTGGATTGTGAATCTCTATAACCTACACCGAGTAAAAATTGACTCAAGCTTCTCAAACTAATTGTAGATGGTTAACTTATATGTTCGAAGATTAAAACTTAAGTCATCACTGCTTAATAAATTTAGATGTCACCCGTTCCCCAGCAAACCTACTCTTTCACCTTATTGCATATCTGGAACGTTTACTAAGTTGATGATGTCTTCAATTTAGCTATAATTCTATGTTTACTATGCATCCTCATACCTGTTTCATCCTAGGAGTCAGAATGAAAGAAGAATAAAGCTACAGAGGTTTCCAGCTCCATTATTAAGGGGCAATGGTATCTAGCCAAGCACCTTCATTACCATAGTAGGCAGCCGATCGAAAATAGTCATTTTCACTTCCATTGCAGTTTAAATAACAATATAAAGTGTCTCCTCTTTGACCATTTTAGACTTTAAATGAGGTGTTTCATTCAATCAAACATAGTATTAGAGCGGACAAATATCTTTAGTTTGGATCGTCCCGCCACTCATCAACAAATATTATCATGTATATGGTCCAAGAAAAAGAATGAGATCCCCACGTGAAGAGGCGTATAACATACCTAAAACCAAAAAAAATTAAGTATCCCCGCGGCTTAGCAAATTTATTTCTCTTTCGACAAATTTAAGTTGGAAGAAATTGGAAAAGCGTAAAGCGAAAATAGTAAGGGGGGAAGGGATAAGACCATAAATTAAGTACCTTAATTGGACTTTGGATATCTCCTTGTGAAGCTACATTCTCATCAATGCCACTCAAAACAGGCGATTCATATGTATAACTTGAGAACCAAATTCCAATATTTGGAGGCTCTATTTGTCAAAACAAGAAGAAGAAAAAACACAATTAGAGAAAGGGACAGAACTTTCAAGATGACTTTTGGAGAAATTATGCGTACCAGAAGGATTCGACCGTGAGTCTACAGAATCCAAGACCTGCAATTCAGAAGTGACTCATTCAATTAGAAGTTTCAGCATCTTTTTTTAACACATAAAAAAACATTAAGAAGATTCTGGGATTACCTGCTTAGACATCTGCCTATTATCAAAGAAATAAGAGAACGAGCAACTTTAGAACTGATTTTTGGAAGTGTGAAAACAGCAGCTGCTTGAAGAAAAACAATGGTCCGGTTTCTTGCCATTTTCGGATCTAGATAGGAAATTATGGCGCCTTTTGTTAAATTTTCAAATTCGTTTTTTCCCGGGATAATATTTTTCTTCTGCCTTTAAAAATGTTTTCTTCTGGGTTCAAGCTTTTGAAAATCCACATTTCTCCTGTTCAGAACTGGTCCACTAGTTAACCTTTATTACACTCGTGTGTACATACAATGATACAAAGACCATTTGGCCACTCTAGTTTGATGTTAATATCAAAATAGCCCCTAGGTTTGAAAAATAATCAAATGGCGTTCTTTTATTTGTTTTAAACATTGTCACATGTTCAAGATTCATGATATTAAAATGTTCACAAAATGTACTTTCACCTTTTTTTGCGGAAAAATACTTATCATATAGGAGTACTTCTTTCCTACATAACTCGTCCAAATCACTGTCATCCTGACGCTTATATTTCCACACAATCAAATTTTCATAACAATCTTTCAACTTTCTAAAAGTAAAGTATTGACTATTTGAAATTAAACAAAACATGTGTTAGCAAGCTATAATTTTATGTATTATGCTTGAGTTTTTTTCTTAAGAGTTTCAAACTCAGTGTTTTTTCTTTGGGATTTTTGAATTTTTGAAAAATTATAAAAATTAAGTTTGAAAATTTCAGAGCTTTTTTTTTTTTTGGGCAAAGCAACTCAAATAAATAGAGTTAAATAGTAAAAGAAAAAAAATTGTGAACTATGTTGTGGAAAATTTTCAAATAAAGCCAAACACTTTTAAGTACAACTTTCTTTTTTGCACTTTGCGGCATTTAAATTTTCCTGGCCCCAAAAAGTTAGTATGTGACTTTGGTGTCTACATGCAAATTTTATAAGTACAAGTGTACAACTTTCTTCTTTTGGGTTGCCTGCCATTTTCAGGGCCATGCCTAGACATGAAATTTGTATAGCATGTTCATGTAGAAGACAAGCTCAAATTTCATTAATACTTTATTCAATAGATCAACATTGAGGAAGATCGAGTAAACAATTTTTTCTTTTTTTGTGTTTAGAAGACGCGTTCACATGGATGAAAGGTCGGTGGTCTATTTTCATTGGCTTAGTTCCTCATTTTCTTTGGCCCAAAATTGCTGAATTAGTGTTTTTGTTGACTTATTTGTTACGCTACACGTAAACGTTTGCTTCTGCTTATCGGAAAACTGAAAATGTTTGTACTCGTATTAGTTAGTATAACCGTGTGACACGCTAGACTAAATTTGGAGATCGCAATATTTCATTTTGTATGTATGTTGTCAATATATATGCAATTCTATGAGTGGACTTTCTAATGTTTCATGCATTCTAATACGCCTTAGTTTAACTATAGTATATTCCATTTTTATCTCACTCAACGACTGTACTTGCTAAAACTTCAAATCAACTTTTGAAAAACAAAAAAATGACTTTTCATAAACAATAACAAATTTTCTAAACTTGAAAATAGTTTAACTTAAACTTCTTATTTTAACCTTAAAAGATAATATTTCTTTAGCATGAGTTTTAAATTTTTTATAATCACATAAATATTAAGATTATTTAAATTACAAGTTTAAAAAATTCTTTTGTTTCACTGAACTCTAAGTGGGCGTTTGGACATAGGAATTCTAAAATTTCAAACAAAAAAAAGGAGAAAAATCATGTGAAAAATAATATTTGAAAATTAGAATTGTGTTTTGGACATGAATATAATTTTGGGTTATTTTTTAATTTTTGTGAGATCTGAAGTAAAAAAAAATTAAAAAACAACTATTTGGGGTTTTTTAGATTTTCAAAAAAAATTCGAAATTCATCTTCAAGTGAAAAAATTAAAAATTTTATGGCTAAACACTAATTTGGAAAAAAAATTAAAAAAAATAAATCCTTTTTTTATGGCCAAGTAGGCCCTAAGCCAAATTATATCAAATAAATAAATTGAAAGTGAGGAATAGTGAAGAGCTGCTCCCTCACCATTGATTGACTATCTACCTCCATATTTAAGTACTATATATGTAATGTCGTTGTCCCCTATAGCCCCGACATCTCAAATATTTCTGGATATTCCATGACGTGTTTTTAAAAAAATGGATTCTCTCTTTTTCGAGTGTGTGCTTATCATTTTAAGTAAAAGTATCTTTCATTCTTTCTCTAACACGGCTCTTCCATCGGTCTTATTGCATATTATAATTGTCACACACGATTACCTCATGGAAATAAACTACCGCGGAATTAACTGCTGACTCCACATTCAATTTTACGTGTTCTGGGCTTCAGTCAGTTAGCTTTAAAATCATAAACTTCTGCCTTGTGAAAAAAGGAATATTTTAACTTGTCAGTTGATGAATAGTTACGTTTTCCCTTTCAAACTTATAAGCTATCAGACATTTGAGTCACACGACACACGGCATACTGAAAACTATTGTCAATCCTTTTATGGGGAGGGGGGAGGTAGAAGGGACAAGAAAGTAAAAAGAATAAATCAAAGGTCAAATCTCAAACTCTAAAATTCTAACTTTACGTGCAACCTTTTCCCCATAAAGTGAAATATATTTAGTGATGATAAGGGCAAAAGATTTACTTCGCTTTTAATTATCCATTTTGGACTTTACATTTTTTTATTTTTTATTTTAAATATGTATTTTACAATTTTACTCATAATAATGATAACATTTTCAAAAATTTTGAAAAATTATTTGCAGAATAAATAGTTAATAATAAGGACAAAACATAAGGAAAAAATTATCTTTAACTTTATTTAATATAGTGAAGATTTTTCACCTATATGAATAGCAATAACTAAAGATTTTTCCTGTTTAATTAAATTAAATTTAAAACTATAATATTCGAAGTCAGATATCACAAAATTTAGATATAACAAGTGAAAGTCCGAGCTACAATAAAAGTAACAACTACAGTTGAACTATTTTCTCTCGCTTAAAGTGTGCATATTTTCGGGAAAAATGAGCAACTTGTGATTCATGTTTTTGGGATGAATACGCACCTCTAATTGAAAGGGAAAAGGAACTATATATGTACACTCCCACTTTATAAATGTGTAATCTGATAAAGCACCGACCCAATATATAGTTTGAAAGAACACCTAATAAAGTATAAAAGAATATGATTTTTTGACCAGAAATGTAGAAAGCTCAGAATACAAGAAAATCTTTGTTGTTTCAAAAGATCTTTAGAGGTAATTGACATTAGAAAATTGGAGCAAAACGAAATCCAGCTTGGTGATATGAAAGAGAGCTAGTTGATCTAACAGGTAATTACTCTATTGATGCCTACTTTACAGACATATGTTACTTCCTCAGTTCCATTTTTACTTCTCAATAATGAAAAAATTAATTTTTCTTTTTAATTTTACTCTTATCATTAAGTATTTATTTTCCAACCTTATTAGGGTATTAGTAGTCAAATTTGGATTTTCAAAGCATAGTTAATAAGTAACTTAGTAGAACAAACACGTAACTAATGTTTTTTTAAGCAGAGTACAAAATACAATGTGGACAAGTAAAAAGGAATATAAGGAGTAAATATTTACTTGAAATTGGCATTTTACTTGAATAATTGAATATCTTTTCCAAACGTCTAAACGTTGCCGCAATAGAAGGTTTGCAACATTAATTATTGGCCAAATACATATGTAGGCCCTCAAACTTGTCCATTTTTGTCACTTTGATACTTAAACATAAGGTTGTTCCTATCAGGCACTCCAATTAAATTCATATGTGCCAATTAAACACCTAAACATATGGTTATTCCTATCAGGTACTCCAACTAAATCACATATGTGCCAATTAAACACTGTCAAGGGAAAAGGCGCCTGAACATGAGAAAAACTTGTTGATTTTATTATTATTATTATTATTATTATTATTATTATTACTATTATTATTATTATTATTATTATTATTATTATTATTATTATTATTATTATTATTATTATTATTATTATTATTATTATTATTATTATACTCCATATTATGATTATTTTATATATCCTAATATATTATTCCTATTAAAGTCATATCGTCGTTTTTTTTCTTGGCAAAATCGAAGGCAAAGTTGTTTGCCCTCTTAGGTTTCTTAAGAATTTCATCATCATACCACCTGAAAAAATTGCAAGCAACTTTGCCAAGAAAAAAAATGACGATCTGGATTTAATAGGAATAATATATTAGGATATATAAAATAATCATAATATGGAGTATAATAATAATAATAATAATAATAATAATAATAATAATAATAATAATAATAATAATAAATCAACAAGTTTTTCTTATGTTCACACGTCCTTTCCCTTGACAGTGTTTAATTGGCACAGATGTGATTTAGTTGGAGTGCATGATAGGAACAACCATATGTTTAGGTGTTTAATTGGCACAGATAGATTTAGTTGAAGTGTCCGATAGAAACAACCCTATGTTTAGGTGTCCAAGTGACAAAAAAGGACAAGGTTAGGGTCTACACATGTATTTGGCCTTAATTATTTGTGGTGAACCTCAAATTTCATCTCGGCATGAGTTATGGTTCTTGACATGCAGAAAGTGGATACAGTCATAACATTTGGCATGCGTCAACACACAAAAGCTTTTACGTAATTGATATGAGAATTCTACGATATTGAAATATTATATCTTCTTCTATATTTAACTCCAGGAATTGGTTAAAATTAACCTTGATAAGCGAAAAGAGAAAAAAATTATTGAAGAGTAATTGCTTGGACTTATAAGTTATACGCTATAATTTAATTAGATGCTAAAACAAATACTCCATATAATTTGTTTTGATGTGATGTTTATTTAGACTAGATGTGGTAATTAATTATTTCATAATACGCTTTTCGTTTCCCAGAAAAACATGAAGGTACTCAAATTTTATATGAAGCCAGACATTAATTATCGTAAATTTTTATCTCAATTCAGTTCAGATATATCAATTTCTTAATATTTTTAATCATAATAAGATAATTAAGGCTACATAAAAGCATTATAAATCACACTTCTCAACTAATATTATTATAAAAATATACTCCCTCCGTTTCCTTTTTGTGAACCTATGATTAGACACGAAATTTAAGTAAAAAGAGAAAAAATTTGAACTTGTAGCGTAAAATGAGGCACATATATTTTGTATAGTTATAAATCATTGTATAAAGTTAAATTGTTTTCAAATATGAAAATGACTCATTCTTTTTGGCACGGACTAAAAAGAAAATAAGTTCACATAAATTAAAACAAATTGAGTATATGAAAAAAAAAATGTGGTTAAACCATAGTGATTTAATTTTCTAAATTATAATAGTATCATATGAACTACTCCCTCCGTTCACTTTTACATGTTCACTATTGACTTTGTACACCCCTTAAGAAATAATAAATAAAGTGTATAATTTACCATGATACTCATATTAATTGATGTATAGTCTTAATAAAATTCGATAATGATTTGAAATGAGTAATTAATGCTAAGAGGAAAATAGGAATTTTTTTTTTTTTATAAACAAAAAGTGACAAGTAAAAATGAAAATTTATTTTTAAAATACATGAAAACTAAAAGTGAACGGATGAGTTGTATATAACAAATAAGAATCATGTTTTAATATATTTTACATAAATAAGTTGTTCAAAAATCTGTTGCAACATGGGTCGGAGATCTAAAACATGTGATGCGTTGAAATTGAGAAGTCGAGGAATCGCAGGCGTTTCTTGTCCGGTTGTGATCATTTGTCAACCATAGAGGGCACTTTTGATATTTACATTTGAAATTGACAATGGAAACTGAAAAGAGAGCCACGCCATGAGGATCATGACTACTAATTAATTCTAAGTTGTAATTACACAAATACCGCCCATCTTAATTTTTCACCTACTCAGAACTGTGGCACTTAATTTTTTCCTTCAAACCTTTTCACTATAAATACTCAAGCTCTATCCAATAGCTCTAACTAACGAAGTAGCTGTCTCTTTCTGTAACCTTTATCTAACTCACTGACTTCTCTCTCTCTCTCTAAATCCATCCACATTCTCTCTCAAAACCATGCAGATCGGAGCAGCACTTCCGGCGACCAATTTTAATCTTTTTCAGGCAACGGTAAAATGCAATGGATGTTCATTAAACCCTTCTGCAATGGCTACTTCTGTAAATGCACAAAGCTTAAAAACACTCTCGTCATCAACCACAGAGATGACTAAAAAACACATTTCCAATCTTGAAAAGCTTCTTCAGAAGCAATCTCAGAAAAAACTATCAGCAGCTGATGCAAAGCCTGTGGTTCAAGAATCCAGTAATAATGGGTTATTAGAAAACAGGGGAAGAAATTTGTTGGAAGGGCTTAATTTGGCTAGTATTTGGCCTGAGATGAAAGCTGCTGAGGAAATGTCGCCAAGGCGTTTGAACAGATTAAAAAGACTGTTATCTTCCAAATCAATGGAATATTCTCCTAGGAACAATATTTGTAGCCGGTGGAAGGAATACCACGGCAGCAATAACTGGCTGGGTCTACTTGATCCGTTAGATGAGAATCTACGGCGAGAATTGGTTCGATATGGGGAGTTCATTCAGGCAGCTTATCATTGTTTCCATTCCAACCCTGCCATGTCAGCAGAGGAGGGGCCATTGTCCGCGAGACACGTGGCGTTGCCCGATAGGTCTTATAAGGTGACCAAGAACCTTTATGCAACTTCGTCCATTGGGTTGCCAACGTGGGTGGATGACGTGGCACCTGATCTTGGATGGATGACCCAAAGGTCTAGTTGGATTGGATATGTGGCAGTGTGCGATGACAGGAAAGAAATTCAACGAATGGGAAGGAGGGATATTGTTATTGCGTTACGAGGTACTGCCACGTGTTTAGAGTGGGCAGAGAATTTTCGTGCCTTGCTAGTAGAACAAAATGATGATTCTGCTGAAGAACAATCTAAAGTGGAATGTGGATTCTTGAGTTTGTACAAAACAGGTGGAGAACATGTCCCAAGTTTAGCTGAATCAGTTGTTAACGAAGTACAAAGATTAATTGAACAGTATAAAGGCGAGCCTCTAAGCATCACGGTCACAGGGCATAGTCTCGGTGCAGCTTTAGCTCTTTTAGTAGCAGATGATGCAAGTACATGTGCACCAAATGCGCCACCAGTGGCCGTTTTTTCCTTCGGTGGCCCTCGAGTAGGCAATCGGGTTTTTGCGGATCGTCTTAACGCGAATAATGTTAAGGTATTACGTATTGTGAATAATCAAGACGTAATCACCAGGGTTCCAGGTATGTTTGTGAGCGAAGCGCTAGACAAAAAGCTTAGAGAATCAGGAGCAGGTCGCGTGCTAGAGATGTTAGATTGTAGGATGCCATGGGCGTATTCTCACGTTGGTACTGAATTCAGAGTTGACACGAGAATGTCGCCATTTTTGAAGCCTGACGCAGATGTTGCATGTTGCCATGACTTGGAGGCATATTTACATTTGGTGGATGGATTTTTAGCATCTGATTGTCCATTTAGGCCTAATGCTAAGAGAAGTCTTGTGAGATTGTTAAAAGACCAACGGTCTAACTTCAAAAGACTTTACACTAGTAAGGCAAAGGACTTGAGCATCAGTCTTGATAGAGAACATAATTTTGCTAGGAGTAGTTGCTTGCCTAGTCCATCATCTTGATATATATTACTAGCAGAGAATGTATACTTCCAAGTACAAAGAATTAATCAGATGTACATGTTTTCTACCATATATACTTGCTTTTCTCTTCTCTAAATTCATAGGATGACTCTATCAGTAACTAAAATATAAGTAAAATAGCATTATATGCGCAATAAAGAAGACAGAAATGAATGAAGTTGAACATTATAGTTAAATGGGAATAGAAGAAATTTTGCATATGAGCAACACTTTTGATAGAATAAATCCGTGGTGGAAAATACCCCAGAAGATTGAGAGATAATAATCGAACATCAAAGCGCTTCCTCAAAGTTAATTACTTTCATCAAAATAGTTTGTAGATAAAAAATTCTTGACAATTTTGAGCGGTAGGGGAGAATTGGCAGAGCAAAAGGGGTAAATTTCACAAATAGTCATATAACTATAACTTTTTCTCATCAAAGTCATATAATTTTATTTTCTAACACAAAAATCATATAATTATGATTTTTTTTCACCAAAGTCATATAACTTTGTTTTCTCACACAAAAAATATAAAACTTCCACTAACTCACAAAAAAATTATCTCGTTTGTTAGTGGGATGAGCCTATCGTTTCGTCCTGCTTATCCTGTCACGTTTAGGCCCGTCCCGGTTAAATGTGGTCTCATCCCTTTGGACAGCCTAGGTTAAACACATTGAACCCAGAAATTCATTACTTTACTACTATACATAAGAGAAAGCAAAGCACCTCTATCCTCCGTGTGTGCTTCGTGAAAGGATGTTTAAGTCATTTCACAAGTAATGATGCAATATGATTGGGCAAAACAGACTGTTACTGTAGCTCCATCATTAATATTTTCATGCCTTTGACTATCGTACCCTTCTGCTTTTGACTGAGTTATGTCTGCTTTTTGTTTCTTTACATCAATGCATGTCAGCAACTTTTGCTTTGTGTCAATAGCAACCTATCGTAGTACGGTGTAACGCCATTTGGCATTCCAGGTGTTTACCCGAAAAACGGATAGAGTTAAATTTGTACGTAGTTTTAAGGGTGTGTGGTATAACTTAACACAAATCGTAAGAGTAAAATGAAAATATCGAATATTGATTGCAAAGAATGAAAAATAAGTAAAGTTAGAAAGAATATGATTTATGAATTAAGCAAGATGAATCAATGTATGAAGCTAAAAAGAGATAATTCTTCAATATAGGAGTGTATGATATCTCAGTTACAATGTATGTAAAACTTGATGCCTTTACAGGAATATCGTCATCCCTTTTACAGTGGGGGAACCCTACTTTAGATATAATTAAAAATACATAGTGGGGAATCCATGATAAATCAGTTTTTCCCTAATTTCCGTCGAGATTCTCTCCCTTAGTGCGGCTACAACGGCTCTTGTCTATGAGCTCGATCTTGACCGGACTCAGTATTGGTCGGCTTCCAGTTTTAGAGCTCGATGCGGGTTTGAGCTTGATGCCGACTCGAGTCCGATAATGACTCGGGCTCGGTATTGGTTGACCCCTAGCCCTTAAGCTCGATTCCATCATATCTCAATATAGTTCGATTCGGACCCGAGTTCGATAATGACTTCGAGCTCGGTATTTGACCCGTTCCTGAAACTCGAAGCTCGTTTGTGCCTTCTTCGGATCCCATCTCGATATTATGAAGACTTTCTTCGGTCCATTATGTTTCCATCTCGATCAGACGTACGAAGGCCGAAATCAGTTTCGACCGTATATAGATAGTCCCCTCGTTTCTTGGGAAGGATGTGGCGAAAAACGATATAATTTCCCAACGGCTGGATCAGATATAAGCTGATGTTTACATTGGGCTCGATCATGACGCACGTGATAGTTGTCCCGTCGGTTTAGTTTTTCAAGATATTTAATGCGTGTCTGATGGTGGTCGGCCACCGCTGATGTTGAACCGACATTGCTCAATCTATAAATAGCCCCTTCTTTTATCATTTATCACTTTTACATCTCCAAATTTTCCAAGTTCTTTTGAGTTCATCTGTAAATCTGTGATCTTTTACTGCAAAATCTTTCTTCAAAAACACCAAATCTCTGTTACCTCATTCTATTTTCGATCTTTAAATCCAAAATGGCGAAGACATAAAAAATCATTAATCATAAAGAAAAAAGCTTCTTCATCACAACATGTCGCCGACAAAACACCGGTGGAGCCACGACCTGAGGAGTGCGTTCCTGGGGCGTGTGTTCTTACTTCTGATTTTAAGGTCGATAAAGGCTCGTCGGTTCTCGTCCAATATGAGCCAGTATTGAGGTATATATGTTCGATAACCGAGGGGCACCTCGAACAGCTAAAGAAATATTGCAATTGGGAAAACAAAGAAGTTGTAATCCTGTCTCCTAAAGAAGATATCACCACTCACGTGAAAAGGGTTTTTAAGCGTGTATACTTACCCTTTCACGTTAGGTCCTCTCAACCCTATTATTATCGATTTTTGCCGTAAATACCAAATAACCCTAGGCCAGATCCATCCTTCTTTTTGGCGGATCGTTATTTTGATCTGTTTCTTCGTGAACAAAATCGAGGGGGCGCCTTTCACCCTCGACCATCTCATTCGATTGTACTGCCTTCGCCTCTTTCGAGGCGATTTAATAAAACTTCAGCGTCGGGCTACCATGGTTCTATTCTCGAGCATAAACGAGGATAGGGATCGAGGCTGGATGGGCAGGTTCGTTCAAATGAAGACTTCGGACCTGATTCCGACTGAAAAAATGCCCTTTCCCGAGGAGTGGAACATGAAGCGTAAGTGTAACTCTGTTGTTATCTATTAATATTTTTCCCCTTCATTTCTTTTTCCACCGATATCCCCTTTTCTTGATGCAGCGGCCTTGGATGCTTGGTGTAGTTCTCGACCTCAAGATCTGGGTACGGGATCTAGCTTCGACCTTCACATATGCTGAGCGCTCATAGCGTGATTTATCGAAGGGCCGATGGGAGGCCAAAAATCACGGTAATCCTCTTTCTCGTATTTTTGGTAGTTCGAACGAAATGCTTTCCATATACTTAAATTGATTTTCCTGTATGTAGGTGTGAGCAAAGATGTGGTTTTGAGGCCCCCGCCCGGCGAGGAAGAGGATTCGATCTCTGTTCCAAATTCGGTGAAGGATAATAAGAGAAAAAGGGCCTCTGCTTCCGAAGATCTAAAATCGAAGACGAGGATGGCTCGTAAGCCGAGGAAAAATACCACCCTTTTAACCATGGAATCAGTTCTGCATCTAAGGGATGAAGACAAGGAAGAAGAAAAAGAAGAAGAAGGAGAAGAAGAAAACGATGGGTCCGTGCTGGTGGCCCGAATAAAGAAAACCAACTATGCCCCAAAAGGCAGCGGTATCGATGGTGATTTATAAAGCTCCGCCTCAGACTGGGGAGATATCGGAGAAAGATTTGAGCAGAGTCCCCGAACCGTTAGAGATCGAGGATTCCTCCCACCGAAGTCAACAAACAGTGGGTATATCAGAAGAGGCCGGTCCCGAAGCTCTCCGAACTGAGGAGAATGCCCCAAGCGAGTCGCTTGGGACAATAGTAATCGAAGACTCGCCCATTCTCCTTGCTTTTTCCGAAGGGGCGATTCGGGAAGCCCAAGCTTTGGGGGCCCTCGAGATAAACCAATCTCATGAAGGGAAGGACCCCTTATGTGATTTGTTTACTAGTGTCGAGAAAGTTGTCGGCCCCAGTGATGTGCCAGGCCTTTTCTGTGAAGTGCAACAAGCTCTAAATCGGGTAAGCTCTAACTTCCTTCGTTGATACCACTTGCATGTTTGCTATTCTTTTCTAACTTCTTTTCCTCTTTCTTCGTAGGCCATAACGGTTCATTGAGAAGCGTGTTCTCGGTCTCGAGCTGAGCTGCGTCGGTATGAGGCTGACCTTCGGCGGGTCACGGAAGAGAGGAACACCCTTAGACTCCTTTTTGGACAAAGGGAAGAAGAAATCAAGGACCTCCGAGCTGAATTGGCCAATGCTCAACAAGATCAGACCGACCTGACCGAGCAGGTAATGGTAATCTTAAAAACCCATGGGCTCGATTCTGGAACGGTGGCTAATATTTCAATCTCACAGCTACAGCAGAAGCTTGAAGTTATTGGGAAGATTCGTGAGGAGGTCGATATGATAAGGGCGGAGACCTTGGGATGGAAATATGGCATGGACCGTCTTGCCACAGAAAAAGAATCTACTCGAGCCCAATTATCAAACCAAATTTAAAGAATTAATGAGAAAAGCTCGTTTCAAGCAAGAAGAATAGAGGAGCTCGAGGCTCGGGTGGCCTACGAGCTAGCCAAGGCCAAATCTGACGCCGAAAAGGCAAAGGCCGAGGCCGATGCATTCATGGCCGTTTACAGGGCCGATGCTGAAGCTGCTCAGGTACAAGTAAGAAAGGCAGCCGAGACCGCCAATACTCGAGCACATTGGGTTGCTGAACTTACTAAGTGCCGATCTTGGAGGGAGACCCTCAAAGAGATCCATGCTCGAGGTTTCGACCTCACCGAAGAGATAAAAAGGGCTAAAGAGCTCGAAGCCGATGTTGAAGCCTTGACTTTTGATGATCATAATGATAACGATGATGGGAGCAAGAGTGGTTCCGAGAGGGGGGATGAGCCCTATGGAGAAGAGACTGCCCCGGTAGATAACCAAGAAACTTAGCCCTTAGTTTCTATTTTGTTTTTTTATGTAGGGTCCTGTTCGGACATTGTAATCATTCTTGTATATTTATAAAGATCTTTTCTTTTCCCGACTTGCCTCTGTTTTATTCTCTGCCTTGTGAAAATTTTATTTCATTCATGCCTTTTGAAGGCTTTAGGCAATTTGATCGAATTTGGACCTTGTAGCCTTTGTAACCGAGTGAGTGCTTGCTCAAACTCGAGATACGGTAGCCCGTAGGCTTAGTAGTCGAGTGAGTGATTGCTCGAACTCGAAGTAATATAGCTCGTAGGGTTATTAGTCGAGTGAGTGATTCGAACTCGAAGTAATGTAGCCCGTATGCTTAATGGTCGAGTGAGTGATTC